AGAAGTCCCAGGCCTCCCCCCAGATGTCGGGCAGCGAGCGCCCCAGGGAAGGGGCTCGCCCCGCCAACCGCACGGACCCTGCCGGCAGCGGGAGCAGCAGCAGGGCAGGAGGAAGCGCGTCAGTCAGGAGCAGTTCGGCTCTTCAGGGCCCAGGTGCCTGCCTGATACCTAGGGCCGGGCTCGGCTCACGCAATCCCGGTGCCGTTCAGGTTTCCCCACTGCCCCTCCTGGTTTACACCACCTGCCGTGGGGCTGTGATGGCAGAGGGACCCCTGCGTGACCCGTTTCTCCAGTGGCGTGAGGATGCAAGGCCACTGAAGATGAGGGGGTGGGCAGGCAGTCACCAAGCGTGAGGGGAGGGGGGTGCCCAGCCCAGCCCTGCTGCAGCTGGGCCAGCTTGAGAACCAGGCCTGGGCCTTGGCCACCCGGCGCTGCCGTGCAGGGCTTGTGAAGGCCAGAGTTAGGTTATGGCTCAGAGGTGGGAAAGCTGACCATCCTCTCCTAGTATTTTAGGATAATATCCTCTGGTCTGATCTGAAAAAATCCCATGGCATTAATGTAAAATTGTCATAAAGGATGCACTTCCCTTTATAATAAATCAGTCAACGAGCAAAGAAAGAAACCAGAAGTCTGACAATGACGGTGACAGCTGTGGTGTAAATACAAAAAAACCTCCAACTGGAAGAAAATACTGAATTTATGCAAAGTAAGAATTCCTATCTTAAAATTATTAAGAATAAATCTATTACTGAAATCCAAATGCAACCCAAGGGAAACCAATAAAGCTCTCTGTACTAAGGGAAGCACTACAGCTTTGGGCTCAAGTATTATGCGTATAATTACTGGTTGTACAGCACTAAGAATATTCCTTTCAGAAATACAAGTATTGAAGTCCATCAAAATCTTTTTGGTGCCATTTGTAGTTCACAATCAGTGTATGTTGATGTAAGCATCCAATGGTTGTAATCTCTGCTATTAGTATCTGTGTATTTAGTTTTGTGTTAAATTATTTGTACAATAAATCATCGGTAAGCTCCCTTTTGACTAAACACACTGGTTGAGACTTTGAGGCTCAAAATTTTCACAGGGAAGTAAATCAGTAAAGTGGAACGAAGTACATTGAAGAAGCAAACTTGAAATAAGAAATGAGCTTGCAAAAGTGCTTTGAGAATGTCACTAAATAAAAATTGGTCCAGTAGGATCAAGATGAAAGGACTAGATTTTAATTTATTAATAGTGCAGTATGTGACAGAGCTATTTATTTTGTTAAAGCTACTCCTGTGTCACTGAGCCGAGAATCTAGCCTGAAATTAAAACAGCAGCAGTAGTTTGTAGCTATTCAGGGTTAATATTCCCAGTCTGTTTCTCTGGATAATTTCAACTAAGTAGAAGTAGAAACGCTGAAGTAACACTAGAGAAAATAAGCATGCAAAATTAAATTTGCCAGAAATGTAACACATCCCATACTGCCTTGCTGCAGACATAAGGTGACAGCCACAATGAGGATGAGAAGCTGAGGTGCAAGGCACTTTCCTACGCATCACAGATGTCCATCAGGCTGGGTGCTCCTGGTCCTCCTCTGCTGTCGGCACGCCAACAAGCCACTCAGAGTTAACTCAGCACACCACCTGACCTGTAGCGAAGGTGTGCCTGCATCTGCCCTAACCCATCACATTTTCAGCTGTGAAGCACCTCCCTAGCTGTGTAAGCTCAACTATTTGTGGGGCCACCCTGAGAATCAGAATTTAAGTACTCCAGTGTAAGCAAAATGATGCAACCTCCCCAAACCCCAGCCTCCCTGTTTTGAAGCTGGATCCCTCATCCATCGTGGCACAGTCCCACAAGGGCTGAGCTGCACAAAGCCATGTGCTGCAAATAGTTCCATCAACAGCCCCTGACATGGCCAGGTGCAGAGCTTGTGGATGCGGGTCCCCAGGCAGGCTGACCAGGGAAATTAAGGCCTATTTGTGCCCTCAGGGCACTGACAATAAACTATTCCATATAGCTAACATATTTTATATCCAGTTGCGTATCTTGAATATCTTTGACGTTCTCATCCATTGTAACATGATGAAACTATTGGAACCACTGCAAAAATAATGTATCTTTCTGGACCAGCATTATTTGAATTAGTTAAAACAACCCTTTTTTACAAAGCAAGAGCAATGAAAATAGATCCATTCATTGAAAAATATGTTATCACCCTCCACCACTGAGCTAAATGGTAATCATGACCCACTGTAGCTCTATGGACAGCAGGGATGGAATTAGTGTATCCAGTTAGAATACTAAAAGCGGTATCTAATTGACTAATCGGGTACCGCATCTTGTGCGCGAGGACTGCCATTTACTCTGTATCCCAGTTCAGTGTAAATCACGGATGTCTAGCTCAAAGGTCTGGACTCTTAATTATAGGCATTTCTACAACTAAGTATATTTTAAAAGAGTAATTGATAATGTATTCACTTTATGAATAAATTAGCATTAACTGGGAAACTGCCCTTATATGTTCAATCCAGTTTGATTAATTGATGGGTCAATTATAGATAGACAAATAGAGCCACAACTCCTAAAACCATCTACTCTGACTACCTAAACTGCACAAGCTATTGAATTCCTTGAACTAGTTCCTGCTCAAAGTAGAGCAAAACTTTTAGGAAAGTCAGGCTTGATTTTAAAATGTCCTTAATAAGTGGTTCTATAAAAAACCCCTACTAAACACATGTGCTTTATTTCTACCTTTAATATGCTCAGTTGTCTTTTCAGCTACTGGATCTTGTTATAACATTATAAACTATTTTGGAAAGTTCTCAGTTGTTTTCTCTCTACATTAGTACTTGTAGACGTTGGTAAAATGAAATGATTCAGCATTTGCTTCTGAAATCTGAAAACATATATACATTATATACTCCAGTTGAGAAATCCTGGTCACACTGAAATCAATGACAAATTCCTACGTTCTTTAATGAATTCAGGAATTTATTTCTGTTTCAAATAACACTGTGTCCAAATAAAAGAGGTTAACAAGTCATATGCATTATCAAATTACTTCTAAACAATACCTCATGCTGGGTCATAGACTTCTCTAAGATCATGTAGGTTCATTGATAAGAAGCTTGTGAGGCTTCTTTTTGGGGGAACCAGCTGGGATGACGGCAAACACTATCACACTCCTGTTCCACATTATCACCCTTGTTGAACAGCTGACAATTTGATTATGCCTCAGGTAATGAGGAAAAAAATCTGAATTTCAGTAGCTCTCTTTTTTAATAAACAGTCATTTAGTTTTAAAAACAAAAATAATAATTTACTAAATAGGCTTTATTCCATGCT